CTTGGCAGAATGACAGTCACCAAAGCAGTGACCATAAGTGCCAACCTGGGGCAGCCTCATGCCAAGGAGGAAGGTGTGGCCTCCGGCTGGTGGTGTTCCTGCCTGGATAGCTGCAGTCCCCTGTGGAAATCCCCCTCTGGATCTGTGGGATACGAGGCCTACTTTGCCGCAACCCCTAGGGGTAGCAGACACTTACTTAAAGCCAAGGCGTCTGCCAAAAGATAATAGCTTTAAATGCAAAATTACAAATCATTACGGGTAATGCGATGCAAATTGCAATAGAAGCATTGGCACTATTTTACTTTGATTTCATTTTTGCTTTTCTTTCCTGGCCAGCCTCCTCTAAAGTTGCTGCTGGGGACACCTTATTCCCACACCTCTCGCCCTCCAGCTGTGGCACTGACCTCGTGCCCTCAAGGAGGACAGGCGTGAGGGCCACGGAGGCCGGGGAGGCCTCCTGCCATCCACGCAGACGGCGGTTATTTCTAAGAAACCGAGGTTTAACTTTTTCCACATTGGTTTCCTCCTTTGCCCTCTGGGCAGTGCCTGGACATGTTCCATTTCCATTGGGAATTGGACGTCACTGTTAATGGTTAATCCAAAAGGCAGCCTTCAGCAAATGCTAAGGGAAGGCCTTAAAGGAACCAGTTGGCTGGACTTGTTTTCTTTGCCGCCTGTGGGCCTCTATGGGCCGGGCCGGAAGAGGAAACCCTGGTAAGCACCTTGGTCCTGCGGGTTCAAACTCCAGTTCTGTGTTCTTTCTTCCCAAGGGATGTGGGACCATGGACAAGTGGTCACTTTCAACTGCTTCTCCTGATAGCCCGGGGAGGCAGGTGTTGCTGAGCTTAAGGTCTGTCTCTAAGCAGCAAAATTGAAAACAAAAGATAGGAATAAGCAGCAAAAAATACAGAAGTGGTTTAAAAAAAAAAAAAAACTTTAAAAAAGTTTTTTATATCAAACTTCTTTCCAGGAAGAAGGCTCAATCTGGCTGACCCTTCAATCACTGAGGGACGTGCTACCGAACGTACTCCCCGCTATAGCAGAAGCCTCAAAGGGGAGGCTGCGGAAGGGATTTGTGACAAAGGCTTCCGGAGTCTTTAGGTTGAGTGAGAACCATCTCCTTGTGGGGCTGTGTGGGGCTCACTTTACCTTCCCCTTTTTCAGCTCCCCTGTGGCCACCTGTTTCCGAGGAGCTCGGTGCTTGTGATGACCAGGAAACCTAGAGGCTGAAAATAGAGCTGATTTCCCAGAATCTCAGGCACTGAGAGAAGAGAGGGGTGGGGACTTCTTGGACATAAGCTCACATTAGCTGATGAAACTGGGCTGTCATGGGCCCCATAGCTCCATCCAGCACCCAGTGACAGGGAAAGAAGCCAGTTTCGCTGGGAAATACTGCAGAGATTTTCACTGCATTTTCATGGGAAGGGCTGAGCGACTACATGCTGGAAAGATGGGCCAAACTCAAACGAACCTGAGGCTGGAATTGCTTCTTTCTTTCTCTCTTTCTTTCTCTTTCTTTCTTTCTTTCTTTCTTTCTTTCTTTCTTTCTTTCTTTCTTTCTTTCTTTCTTTCTCTATCTTTCTTTCTTTCTTTCTCTCTTTCTTTCTTTCTCTCTTTCTCTCTTTCTCTCTTTCTCTCTTTCTCTCTTTCTAATATAATATTAGAAAGAGAGGAAGGCAGAGAGAAACATTGATGTGAGAAACATCAACCGGCTGCCTTCCTGCATACACCGTGTTGGGGATCGAGCTACAACCCGGGCATGTGCCCGGAACCCGGAATTGAACCGGCAACCTCTTAGTTCACAGGATGATGCTCAACCAACCGAGCCACACCTGCCAAGGTGGGACTGCTTTTTCTAATGAAAGTGCTCAGTAAATGCCTCACGGTGGGAGCTGCATTCGATAGATAGCCCCGTAGCTCTCGTTTTGATGTTTGTCACCTGAGAACTGGAGCTCATCTGTGAACCAGGCCCATCAGCCCAGGCATCTCCTATGGAGACCACTGGCCTCCCAAGCACTCTTCAGATCGGTGCGAAATTTACATTTCAAAAGATGCTTTCTAAGTTGTCCAGGTGGTCCTTAGTGTATCACATTATACACAACTAGGAGCCAGGTATCCTCGGTGATTAATGTTGTTCACAGCACGCCTGGGTCAGAATATAACCTTCTCCAGCTTCTTTGCTCAGGGTGCTGACCCAGGAGAATAACAATAGCAAACAGTATGCATCATTTCTTTGTTGCTGTATAATAAATTACCCAAATTTAGCCGCCTCAAACAACAATAAACATTTGTTATCTCACTCAGTTTCTGTGGGGTCAGTAATTCAGTCTAGAGCAGCAATTCTCAACCTGTGGGTCGCGACCCCTTTGGGGGTTGAACGACCCTTTCACAGGGGTCGCCTAAGACCATCGGAAAACACATATATAATTAAATATTGTTTTTGTGATTAATCACTATGCTTTAATTATGTTCAATTTGTAACAATGAAAATACATCCTGCATATCAGATATTTACATTACGATTCATAACAGTAGCAAAATTACAGTTATGAAGTAGCAACGAAAATAATTTTATGGTTGGGGGTCACCACAACATGAGGAACTGTATTAAAGGGTCGCGGCATTAGGAAGGTTGAGAACCACTGGTCTCGAGGATCCACTTCCAAGAGGACTCCCCTGCTTGGTGGGCAACCTGGTGCTGGCTGTTGGTAGGAAGTCTCAGCTCCTGATAAACTCTGTGAAGGCAATTACGTTGATCAAATCTTTAGAACAGGTACTAAACTAATAAATGAACATTCATCACTAGGAGATATCAAAACCCAAATTTCCCTCCCGTTGTAATTTTGTCTGCTCTTTTGTATACTGCCACCCGGCTCCTCTGGCTCCATGTCATCTCAGCACTGAGCTTCCTGGTCCTCGGGGGCAGGAGCCTCAGGTTATTAATATTTCAGGGCCCTGCCACCCCCATGTCCCCATGGATCTCTCTCAGTGGTCAGGGTTTGATCCCCCCAGAATGAACTGATAACATCAGGGGTGCAGGGGGGTAGACGGTGGGGATGAAGGGACAGGAGCAGAGGCCCCAAAGATTCCTTTTCTAGGCAGGGGCAGGGCTCCGCGCCCCCTGGGGACCCGGGCCGGGTGAGCATGTTCCAAGGTGGCTGGCCACTCTCAAACATGGTCCTGAGGGTTGACCCTCGACTCATCACAATGGAGAAATCAATCCCCGTCAGAGCTGTGGGAGGCGCAGAGGGAAACAAACCCCTGTTGTTTAGGAAGAAAAACGTGTTTTCTCCCACCCAGACTACTCCCTGTTGGTTCATCTGCACAGGCGCTGGCAGGAAGGGGAGGAAAAAGAGAAAGAGGAAGGAGGGGGCATTTCCGCTGGCAGACTGGCTTGCCAAAGCAGCTGCTCTCAGATTCCTCTTCTCTGTGGGTCTTCCAGACAACAGGGCCCTGCTGCTTGTCCAGAAAATACTTTTGCATGAGGCACTCCCACTCGAGCATGTACTTCCTCCCTGCTGCTTCCCGTACTTCCGCCGCTGCCCGCCCACTCTCTCGGGGCAGCACACTTTCTTCTGCTCACTGCCTTGGCCATGCTGGTTTGCCTTTCAAGGCTGAGTAGGTCAGACTCCTCTGGTTGCTCAGGGGAGAAACCCACTTCGCATTAGCTCAAACTAGAAAAGGGGTGTGTGGACGCAGAATTACCACAGGACCCAGCGATTCCACTCTTAGGTATATGCCCCAAAGAATTGAGAACAGGTATTCAAACAAATACTTATACATGAATGTTCATAGCACCATAATTCATAATGGCCAAAAGGTAAAAACAACTCATATGTTTATCAGAATGGACAAACAAAACGTGGTATATATATTTATATAGAAGAATATGACTCAGCATTAAATAAGGGATAAAGCCCTTAAACACTCTGCAACATGGCTAAACATTGAAAACATCATGCGAAGTGGAAGAAACCAGACACAATGGACCACATGTTGTATGATTCCATGTATATGAAACTTCCAGAACAACAGGTAAAGCCATTGAGGCAGAAAGCAGGTTGTGGTTGCCAGGGATTGAGAGGAAGGAGGGAATGGTTAATCTTATGGTATATGAAATCTACCTCAAGCAACAACAACAAAAAAGAAACAATTCAATGCTTGAAAAATAAAATTTAATGACAATTGATGGGGGGAGGGGGAGACAAAAGGATTGTATGGGCTCCTTTAAATGAAAAGTCTCGGATACACCTGCTGGCTTTGGACCTAGCTAGGTCCTAGGACTCAGCGACACTATCAAGGCTTTGTCTCCATCCCTCAGCTCAGCCTTCATCCCGGCAGCCCTCTCATGGCGGGAGAAGAGGGCCATCGCCAGTTCTGCTGTCACATTGTACTTAGCAGGCGAGAGAGGAGACGCCTTCCTGTTCGGTCAGGTCACATCTCAGCCCTTAGACCAGTCACCCTGACCAGGGTCTGGAGACCTCTGACTGACATGGCTCCAGTCATATGGTCATCCCTGCAGCCAACCCCGGATGGAGGGGAGGGCAAAGGTGTGAAGTCAGCACCATCCTAAGCTCCTGGGCTGAACGGCTTACTATGGAATAGGGTGACTGTGGAATAGCGACTCACTGAGGAAAGGATGCTGGAATATACCCTAAGGACAAATTCAGCGAGAAGGCAAACACATGGGCACATGGGGAGAGCCTCTGGGTAAATGTTGACAATGGTGCACATGGAATAACATAAAGATCCTCACCAGGGGAGGAGTCGAATAAATTACAGTGAGGACAAATGGAGAACTGCCATGCAGCTGTTTAAAAGGATAACAAATTCTGCATTTATTGACTTGACCATGAAATTTGATTTTTTTTTTAAAAGGATGTAAGACGGAAATATAGTGTGACCCCAACTTTAAAAACCATAACCCTGGTAAATGAGAGAGGAGACCATGGGCTCCATCTCTCTATAGCCTTAATGTACAGCATAATGGTCAAAATGAATACAAAATAAAATCCATTATTTAATCACATCTCTGGAAAACATTAAAAGGGCTCCAGGTCATAACCATATCAGCCCATCCCGGACGCCCATTCCTCCAAGCCAGGTCAGTGTCCCGTAGCTGCTCCAGGGCCATGGGCTCCACTCTGAACTCCAGTCCCTAAGGCTTTCCCTGCTCGGACATCCTCATTGTTCCACTTCTTTCCTTCATTATGTAGCTCAACTTAGTTCTTCTCAGCCAGTAATAATTCTTCCTCTCTCTAGAAGAGAAACGTAAGGGGAAACCGTAGAGGCAAATTTAGGATTTTCTTCAATGGGCATGGGGAGAAAGAAGACTAAGACTGCTCTTTTTTAAAATATGTTTTTATTAATTCCAGAGAGAGGAAAGGGGGGAGGGGGAAGGAGAGAGAGAGAGAGAGAGAGAGAGAGAGAGAGAGAGAGAGAGAGATCAATGATGAGAGAGAATCATTGATTGGCTGCCTTCTGCATGCCTCCTACTGGGTATCCAGCCTGCAACCTGGGCGTGTCCCCTCACTGGAAATTGAACCCTGCCCTCCTGGTTCATAGGTCAATGCTTGAGCACTGAGCCACACTGGCCGGGCTAAGACTACTCTTATGTTAATGGTTTTAACTTTTATCTGCATACATAGAAAATAGTGCAGGAAAAATCATATCAGGGCTATCACTGGTTGTGGGATTTTAAGTGATTTTTTGCTCCCTCTTTTATAACTTTTGTCTGAATTTCTTTTTATAGAGCATGTTCTACTTTTATATTCAGAAAGAAGGTTTTTTTTTTAAAGAATCCTTCATACTGTGGCATATTTCTTTTCTTTTCCCCCCAAGAAGGTAACCTTCTTCACACATGACAAGAAATATGAATAAAAGACAGTTCCTTAGTAGGTTTATAAGTTTTCCCCATAACATGGTACTGTGCAGATTCATTCAAAATCAAGCAGGCTGAGCCCTCAGTGTAAGAACTGAGCGTGTTGTGACAGTCTGCGGCCGGGGCTGGGGCTGCTGCCTTCCCTGAGGAGTTGCCCTTCTTCAAATGGAGGCTGGCCCATGCAACCTGGCCACTAGGTATTGGCGACTCCCTACTGCTGCGCTGGAGTTTCCCGAGCCCCTTATCAGGTCTGAGTGACCTTGGCCTTGCAAGGCCATGGGGGAACTCCCGCCTCTGCAGACTTGCTGGATGAGAGCCCTGGGGTCTGAGCAGGGTAAAAATTACTCGCTGCCTGCTTTCCTCTTCCTGCTGGGTCCCTCCTCGCCTCCTCCACCACCTCCCCTGGGTCCTCTCTGGCCAGCTCTGTTTCTGTGTTTGGGCCAGGCAGGGAGAAAAACATTTTGGCTCGGCTCCTTGTTTGTCAAGAGTCCAACATTACCAGGGGTCTCGCCTGGTTTCAAGTATTTCCCGGTGCCTTTCCTTGCTCCGTAGTCAAGTTTCTAGCCAGGATTTCTTGGCTCTGGGAAAGATTGAATGCCTGTCTGAGCCTTCTGGGCCTGTGTTTCATTTGCAGCAGCCTGGCTCTGACTGGGTGACAGTCCCGGCCCTCCTGGTCAGCCCATCCCCTTCTGCTTGGCCAGCGGAGGAGGCCCTTTGCATCTTGTTCCTGGCGCTTGAGAGGAAGGAGGCTCCTAGTTTCCATCCCAGCCCTGCGTCCTGGGTTTACTGCAGCCCCAGCACAGGCTCAGAAGTGGCACTGCCTTCCAAGAGCAGCAATTCCTGCCCGGCTGCAAAGGCAAGAATGCCAACCCCAACGAGCCCAGCCCTTAACTGTTTCTGAGTCAAACTGGGACCTGTTCCGCACCTGGTGCTCTCCTGCTAGACAGTTCCAGCTGTTCTGATCTTTCACACAGGCCTTGGCAAGGCTGAAAGGGTCTGGAAGCAAACGAATTCAGGAAGCCTGCAGAACATCAGGCCTGGGCTGATGGGTGCCTCTCCCTCTCCCCGCTTAGGGACCCTCTCTGCGAACTCCCGGCCACCTCCTGCTTTCATCTGGGGCAGAGCCCCCCCCCCCCCCCAAGGGGGCTGCCTGGCCCTGGGTGCACGCCCCAGGGGAGAGAGAGCAAGCAGTTGACGGGTGTGACGCCGTGTCCCAGGCAAGACGCTCCAGGGCTGCCAGCCCATGCAGAGAAAGGGTCTGTGAGCCAAGGCTGCAGGTTCCAGGAGCCAACCCGGGGAGCTGCTCAGGACATGGATTTAGAAGCAAAGAACTCCTTGGACCCCCATATGTCCTTGTCACCATGGCAACCCACATCATTCCATCCTAAGGGTGTGAGGAAGCTGTAAATGTTAAAATAATGTTTCCTTGACAGACTTCCTCTCTTCCTTTTCTTTAAGGCTGTGCGGTATTTCCTGAACTCTGGGTTGCTTTTTTTCTTTTAGGTGCTGTGATCAAAGGCACGGATGGCCTCGCGAGTACGCGTAGCCCACGGTGGGTAACTGTCAGGCGGGAGCAGCTGCAGTCATCTGATGGAGGAGAGGCTGTGGGTGAGGCTTTCCTCTTAACACCCTGACACTCTAGAAAGTTATGGAGATAAAATAGGTAGTTGGAAAGGTGCCCTGCCCGCTCCATCCTGCCAGCCTAGCACATATTTCCAGCTCCTTCTCCCAGGGTGGCTAACCCCAGCAGCCGACTTCAGCCCGGGGCCAGGAGCTGCAGGAACGGGGTGTTAAGGAAAGCGATGTTCGGCTCTTCCTCGGAGCCCAGGGGATTCCCTGCGTGGCCAGGGGAGCTGCAGCTCTCACCGGCTGCAGGGCAGGTGGTGACAGGGCAGTGACCGGGGCTGGGGCTGGCCGTCCTCTGGCGAATGCAGGGCTTTCACACCCTTCACCTGGCTGGGTCCCCACAGCACCCCACTTGGGGGCGGGGAGCACTAGGTATTGGCCTCAACTGCAGACAAGGAAACTGAGGCTCAGAGACACCCTGACTGCCCCAAACCCCTCAGCTGGTAAAAGGCCTAAGCAGGGGCCTAGAACCCAGGTGTCCTGACTTTGGGGCTTGGGCGTGGGGGGTGGCTTGGCCCCGAGAGTGCAAACACTGCGCTGGCTGCCCGGTGCCCGGGCCTAGCATTTCTCCTCCCCGGGCGTGAGGCCGAGCGCGGGTGTGTGTGGGCTGGGCCGGGGAAGAACAGCTCTGCACAGAGAGGCCGAGGGGGGCGAGAGGGGCGAGGGGGGCAAGGGGGGCGAGGGGGCGGAGAGTGCGGCTGGAAACCGGAGCTGGAGGCCCCGGCTGCTGCGTTCGGGCGGCAGGCCTTTGCCTCCGGGTGCCCCAGCTCTGGCCCGGCCCTGGCGGCGCCTCGGAACCCCGCGGCTCCCGGCGGAGGCTCTGGCCACGGCCATTGGCCACTGGGAGCCGGGGGTGGGGAGGGGGCAGGAGGGGGCAGGAGGGGGAGCGCCCGGGCGTCGGGTTACTCGCGCGGAGCGGCTGCGGCCGCGGGGGAGGGGCGGGCTCGCGGCAGCTGGCCCGGCTGGGGGAGGGGAGGGGAGGGGTGGGGAGGGGGGAAGCGGGGCCTCGGGCAGAAGGACCCCCTCCCCCGCCCCAACGGCCCCATTCTTGGCCTTGAAGAGAAACCATTACCGCGTTTGTTTCCAACTCAATCAAACACACATCGGTGGAAGCGCCCGTGGCGGGGCAGGTGCTGCGTTGGGCTTCAGCGGGTGCAAGTGGCACAGCTGGGTTCTGCCCAAACTTGCGTCTAATTGAGGAAATAAGAAATCCACACGGAAGAAGGACGCTGAGGACACCAGGAAGCAAATAAGGCCTGGCTGATACTCATGAACGACCAAGGTTATAGAGGTTCCTAGAAAGGAAGTCTATTCCTGCCCCCGCCCGCCCCCCCGGGGGGGGGGGGTTGTAATCTGAGAGCTGCACAAAGGGGCCAGGTGTGGCCGCCCTGAAACTCCCACCAGGGCCTCCAATGGCCGGGGAGAGCTATCCTACCATAGCTCACCTCAGTTGCAGCCTCAAGCCAACCCCCACCTCCACCCCCACCCTACTCCCAGCCTCCTTACCCTCCCAAACTTTACTCCATGCCTCTACTCTCCGTCTCCTGCAAGACTAGCACCCTCTCGGATCGCGGCTCTTTCTCCCTGCAGCCCGTGCACCTCATGTCCTCGAAATGTTGTCACTCACCATTGAGCCTTGAATTCTGTTCCTTCTACCCCTTTAGACCTTAGCGCTTTGGGAATGTGTGTCATCAGATTTACCACTTCTAGTTAGTGTCTCCTTGTCATCCTTCTTGTCATTTTCTCTGTCCCTTGATGATTTCAGAACTGAGCTCTTTCTCTCCCACTGTCATCATTCTTGTGATTTCAGTACAATGCTGATGGCCCACCCAACACGTAGTCCCTAAGTCCCTTGACAGCTTTAGCACTAGCGATATACTTCTCCTGCCCCACCTTAGCTTCCTGGTCGCACCCTAGACCGAAGAACCATGCATGGCTACAATGATCTCTAAAACCTGATTCAAAGACCCCACCACCTCACTCCCTCCAGTCCTTGCCCTCTGCTGGTTCTCCCACCTGAGACAGTCAATGCATCGCTCTTCCCTTTCTTCACTATTTATCTCCCCTGAGGTTTCACTTCTCAGACAGCTAAGACATCATGATCCAGCGTGCGAAATATCTTTTTTTTATATTATGTATTTGTATTTATTTTATTATTATTATTTTAATTTCTTTATTGGTTAAGGTATTACAAATCTTGCAGATACTCTTAGCTTCCTTACACTGGTCTCTCTCCCTCAAATTCATCTGGTGAAACCCAACTGTGGTTAAATCAAATCGTTTACTTCTCACCTGCAACCCAGCTCCTCTAAATGGACTCGCTTCAAATGTATGGCCATGCATTTCAAATGGGCATTTGAACTACGGGACAATCCTACTACAGCTTCTTAGAAAATTCCCTTTCCCTCTCCACAATGCAACCATTTCACACTTTCTCTTCTCTGCATATTTTTCAACACCCCTTCCTCTTTCATTCTCAGTCTAACCTCAGACTATCCTTCATAGAGAACATAGGTACAATCAAACCAACAGCCCGATCTTCCCACCACCCAAGCCACCAGAATGCCTGCAGCTCTGCATTCTCTCTGCCCATCTGTGGCCAGCCCCTCCATCTGGGCCCTGGGCCCCTTCCCTTTCAGCAGCGCAAGTATTCCCTTTCTTTCATGCATCATCAATTTCTTCCTCTCTACTAGATCCTCCCCATTGAAGTAAAACAGGACTTAATTCCCTAAATTTGAAAACATATTAGCCTTAACCTCACATCTGTCAGGCTACTGCACCAGCTTTCTGCCCCTCTTCAGAGCAAATGATCCTGAGAGAGTCGTCTGTAGACTGACAATCCTCTTCCTCACCTGCCATGCTTACCTCCACCCACTCCAGCTGGGTATTTATCCTTACCATTCCGCTGTAGCTCTTAGCAAGAATGCCGGTGACCTACATCTCCACTAGATTAGTGGCCAGTTCAGGTCCTCATCTCATCTGGCCTCCCAGAGGCACTGAACATGTTTGATCACTTGGTGGTAGATTGAATTATTGGTTCTAATGCTTGTCACTCCTCCCTGGGTCCATATTCCCTTCTGTCTGACAGGCAGTCCCTCCCACTAGAGGTGGAGTCTTCTTTCTTGCCCCTTGACTTCGGGCTTGCTTGGCTAGGTGACCCATTTTGGCCAATGGGATGTAGGAGGAAGTGACATGATGCCAGTTCGAAGCCGATGCCTTAGGAGGCATTTCATGTTTCTACCTGCCTACTCATGCCAATGGTATCATCGTAGGAAAAGCCTGCCCTAACTGGCCTGCGGGTGGAAGGAAGATGAGGGCCATGGACATAGAGCAGACTCAGACTCAAATGCAGCTAGAGCTGCCCACCCAAGGTCAGCCACCTGCAGATGACCTCTAGCTGACCCATAGGTACATGAGAAAAATAAATATTTACTGTGACATGCCACTGAGACTGTTGTGGTTGGTTGTTACCCAGTAATAGCGAACCAATAAATCCTCCTTCTTGAAATCCTCTCTTAGTTCAGTTTCCTTATAATCAAAACTTTTTTTTTCCCCCTCCAACTTCATAGGTTGTTCTTCTCAGTGTCTTCTGTGAAGGCCTTTCCTCCGCTTGAGCTCTAAATTTTGGAGTGGCGTCAGTCTGAGCCCTCTCTCTCTCTCCTATCTTTACCCTTTCTGTGAGTGAAATTATCTGGGCCATAACTTTGAATGCTATCTACATGCTGGTTCTCAAATTTAAGTCTGAAGGCAAGACGCCCCTGAACTCCAGACTCAAACCTGTTTATGCATATCCACCTGATGTGTGATAGAGCGACTGACCACCCTGGCCGGGTGGCTCAGTTGGTTGGAGCATCGTCCCGTACACCAAAAAGGTTCCAGGTTTGATTCCCAGTCAGGGCACATACTTGGATTGCAGGTTCGATCCCTAATCTGGGCACATACAGGAGGCAGCTGATTGATGTTTCTCACATCAATAATTCTCTCTCTCTCTCTCTCTCTCTCTCTCAAAATCAATAAAAACATATCCTTGGGTGAGGATTTAAAAAAAAGAAGAACTACTGATCTACCTTTTCCCAACATGGGCATCCCATCCAGCCAGCTAGCCTAAAAATGGAGTAGGTATCCTCAACCCCTCTCTTCTGTCATAGGTCAGATCATCAATAAGTCCTATCTACTACACCTCCAAAATTGGTCCCGAAATCAGTAACACATCTCAGCATCGCCATAGCCCCACCCTGGTTTTTATTGCCTCTTGTCAGGACTTCTGCAACCACATCTTAACTGTTCTCCTCAGCTCCTAGTGACTAGTCCATGTTCTGCAAAGCAGCCAGAGTGATCTTTCTCTAGAGCAGGGTCCTCAAACTACGGCCCGTGGGCCACATGCAAATACAAATATTGTATTTGTTCCCGTTTGTTTTTTTTTACTTCAAAATAAGATATGTGCAGTGCGCATAGGAATTTGTTCATAGTTTTTTTAAAAAACTATAGTCCGGCCCTCCAACAGTCTGAGGGACAGTGAACTGGCCCCCCGTTTAAAAAGTTTGAGGACCCCTGCTCTAGAGGGTAAATGAAATCTCTTCGCTCCCAGCTTAAAACCCTCCAAAGCCTTCCCATTGCAACCAAAATAAACCCATACTCCTTACCTTGGCAGATGAGGACTTGATGATCCAGTCCCTGCTTAGGTCCCAGAGACCCTCAAATCTCCTTGCTCACATTGCTCCAGTGACAATGGCCTTCGTCATGTCTCTTGAACATAGGCACATTCCTGCCTCAGGGCTGTTGTACTTTCTATGCCTTCTGCTTCGAGCACTCATCCCCAGATCTACACAAGGCAGCCTCCTTCCCACCCATAAGGTCTCAACTGTTACCTCCTCATAGAGGCCTCGACTGTCTAAATCAGCGGTTCTCAACCTGTGGGTCACGACCCTTTGGGGGTCGAATGACCCTTTCACAGGGGTCACCTAAGACCATCGGAAAACCTATATAATTACATATTGTTTTTGTGATTAATCACTATGCTTTAATTATGTTCAATTTGTAACATTGAAATTGGGGGTCACCACAACATGAGGAACTGTATTAAAGGGTCACGGCGTTAGGAAGGTTGAGAACCACTGGTCTAAATAAATTTTCCCACCCCCCACCCTGGCTCCAACGCCCCTACTCGATCACATCAGTTTAGTTTCTTTGTAGCACTTATCAACATGCAAAATCCTTTGGCTCTGTGTCTGCTCTGTTCCCTCCCATGACAGCATGATATCCTGAAGGGCAGGTGTTGGTCTTGGTCTCCGATGGGTTCCCAGGGTCCAGAACATGCTTGGCACATAGTGGGCTGTCAGCAAACACCTGTTACCTGATTGACTGATGCCAGAGCAGAGAAAGGCAACTAGAAGAATCTGGAAGCCCCGGGGAGCCAGCGTTCGGTCCTTGGATTCCAGACGCAAGAAAAACCCATTACCCAACCTTTTAGGGACGAATATTGAGTTTCCACTTTTGGAAGGTCTCCCTGGGTAATTAAGGGTTTGCTGAGCGCAGAGCAGGCACTCATACACGTGTTAACGAGCTGGTGCCCTGTCTTGGGCTCCTTCACACCCTCCCCCAACACACACACACACACACACACACACACACACACACACACACACACTGAACACAGCTTCACCAGACTCCCACCCCACGCATACACCCTGGACCCAGCCACTTGCCTTCCCAGCCCCCTCCACCCCATTCCATTGTCAGAGCTGAACAAAGGCCCAAGGCATCCTGGGTTAAAGGATTTTAACTCTGCCAATCCCAGGAGGCCCCAACAAGCAGCAGCTTCCTGCAGGAGAAAAGTGACTGAGAAACCTCCCCAGGGGACAGGGGATTTTTTTTTTCTGGTCTGAAAAACAGAGCCTGGCTGCCAATCAGACACTCCTCCCAGAACCTCGCCCAGCCCCCCATCCAGAGGGTTAGGAGCGCTCTCTTGCAGAGACCTCCCAGCAGTCAAGTGGGTCTTTAGGTCCCCCCCCCCCCCCCCCCCCCCCGCTGATGACCTCTGTTTGGGGCGGGCAGTCTTGTTAGCGTCCTCGCAAGCCGGACGAACCGTCCCCTTTCTCTCCTCCTCGTCCTCCTGCCCTCTGCCTGCCCCTGCCTGCCCCTGCCCCTTGCGCCCCAATGCTGCCCCCAGAGCTC